ATCCCAACTCTTGTTACTGACTTTAGAACACAGTTCTCTGAATTATCTTTTTTTTTTTCTATCTCTAACTCATTCCCAGAGGCATAAAGCATGTAATTCCTTTTCTCACTTTAAAGAAAATTATTTCTTGCTTTCACTTTCCTTTCTGGTTTCTTATCCATTTTTCTGTGATCCATTATAGGAACCTATTTAAGAACTGGCAAACCATGAGTACATAGTAACTTGGAAAATGGTTGGAGAAGGATCTCTACTACTTAGAGTGCTAATTAACAAATATAGAAGGAATGAAAGAAACAGAAAATTAGTATTTTGCAACCAACAATATACTCAAGTATAGATTATCAATAAATACTAAAACCACCAGGTAAAATGCTGGAAGACAAGATATTCACACAGTTATTTCCCCCAAACTACTTACTAATTACAAAGGAAAAAATGTGCCCTTACAATGGAGAAATCAGCCAGATGTCACTTGCTGTGAGTAAAGTTAATAGTACAAATAACAAGACAAACTAACATTATATATCTTTATGTGGAGCAATGGGACGTATATAATCTCATTTATAGAGGACTCTTGCAAAAATTATTAAATGAATTGTAAGCAAACAGACAAAACCAGATAGTGGGATTCTATTAGTCAACTGGATATTGGATCAGGGAAGAACTATAGATTATTGAAATAAAAAACTTTACTATTATACTTCCCCTGGTATGACTATGGTATTATACTTGCTGTAGAAGAATGTCTTTGTATTAACAAGTTATGCAGTGAAGTGTTTTTTGAGATGAAGTGTCATGGTGCTTGCAACTTTCTATCAAATATTTTAGAATAAGGACTTGGCTATACTTTCTGTCTCCAATTCTTCTACTCCTAGTCTTGATTTAGTCACTTTCATCCCTCACCATTTCACCAGAACCATTGATATCACCAATGATCATTACTTTGCCAAATCCAATGGTCATCCTTAGTCTTTATTTTATTGATCTCTATTCTCATTAAAATTCTCTTTACTGTATGTCCCACAACCCTGAATTTCCTTCTGCATAGCTCTGCCAGTTTCTTCTCAGATGCTTTGGATGGTCCCTCCTCATTCCCTCTGCCTCTAAATGCTGGAGGRCATGAATATCTGTTTTTAAGCCTCTTTTCTTTTCTACCTGTATTCACTACCCTGATTCTTTCACTTTCAGAGGTTTATACAATGAAGAAGTCAGTGTCCCTGACTTCTTCCCGGAACTTTAATTTGATTCCTTACAATGTCTAGTTGGTATCTGACAGGAATCATCAAATTAACATTTGGGGAAAAAAAAGAATTTTGATGTTCTCTTGCAAACATGTTCTAATCATAATCTTCATTATTTCACCATTAATGCAACTCCCCATTTTTTTTTCTTGTTTTCTGGCTTTAATCTACTAGCCAGAGCAGCCAAAAGTGATCCCATTAAAAATAAAAGTCATATCCTCCTCCTTAGCTCAAAACCTACAATGTTCTTCATCTCACAGGAGAGGTTCATACTCTTTTAATGGCCTACAAGACCTTCAAATCTGATTCCAAATTACCCTTTTGCCCTCTATTTTTTGCTTCTCCACCCTCTCCACTCCAGTTACAATGTTATTTCTACTAATCCTCAAACACAACAGATAAACTATAGTTTCAAAGCAACTCATGTTATTTTCTCTGCTTTCAGTCTTCCTATGCATGGCTCATTCTCTACTTTCTTAAGTCTCTGCTCAAATGTTTTTCTTGTTTGATTATCATCTGTCTCCTCTCACCAGAATATAAGATCCACAAGATCAGGTGTTTGTGTATGTCTTTCACACATATGTCTAGAATAATTTCTTGTATACAACTGGTGCTCAGTAAGTATTTGATGGGTTAAACTATGAAAGCTGGGGCACTGAAGAATGTTGAGTAGAATAAAAGACCAGATATCCTTTTCTCATTAGTGTCTATTAAATTAGACTCAGCTAAAAAAAAAAAAAAAAAAAAGAGGCCTTTTTTTGTGATGCTGGGGATTGAACCCAGGGCCTTGTGCATGTGAGGCAAGCACTCTACCAACTGAGCTATATCCCCAGCTCCTTTTTAGGAACACATTGTTTGTTCATGTTCTAAATAAAATTCCATAGGTATTATTATTATTCAGCTTGCATTAATTATCTAYAAAAAAGTATTGCCATGCATATTAATTGAACTATTAATACAGATAAGGTTATGTAAGAAATAAAACTGATATAAACTTCATTTATAGGTATATCACAAACTCACTGAGGCAAATGCATTGATGAAAACCTAATATGTTAATTACATGCATAACTTTATCCACTAATTAAAGTGAGTCAAGAAGGATAACTTCAGCAGCACATGGAGATATTACTTTGCATACATCAAATTAACAACTTATAATTAACATTTTTATAATTTATAATTCTAATTAATAAGGTATTATTACAATTCCATAGGAAAATATATCAATAGAAAGAGTAGTTCATTTCAGTTGTTATAACCATGAACCTGTTACCTCCCCTAATAAGTTATACTTCAGGAATTAAACTCTTGTTACAAGTTTGTATAACCCAATGTAAAAAGAGAAAGTTTAAGTAGTTTGAACTAAAATTTCTTTTAAAAATCAAACCAAACAATGATTAAAGGTACTTATTTTTCTGAAGAATTAAGTATATTGGAGACTCAAGCAACAGAAGGACCAAGGAATGACATAATCTCATACTGACCCTCTGTGGTTTACTAAAGTATAACAGCAGAAAATCAAACACACAAATCCACCAAAACACAAATGCCATAAACCATACTTTGAGGTTTATAAGGTGCCTTATAAATATCTTAAATTGAACAAGAAAGGAATTATTAGTCCCACTTTCCAAATGAGTAAACTAATGTTCAGAAAGATTAGCTCAATGATCTCATATGATGTAGAGTATGTAAAAGACCCTTTATATTTTTATACTCACATGTACACATATGCATGTATATAATATAATAAGCGTTCAGGTAATCCAGGGGCTTTCAAAAATATTACAGTGTAGAATGTTTAAAACATTTATTGTAATTGTCTATTTGAGAAAGTTAATTTTTCTCCACTCAATTAAAAGAAAAAGAACATATATACACCCAAGAGTGATGATAATTCCATGAAACTGGCACTTGTGCTGATTGCTAAAGGCATTGTAAGCTGGTATAACACTTTTGGAAAGAAATTTGGCAATAACCTCAAGGTACAAAAAATATTCATGCCCTTTACTTCTATTTCTGGGAAGCTATCCTAAGAAAATAATTCAGGATATGGAAAAGCTATAGATTATTTATAACATCCTAGACACTTGGCATGTGAGACTTAACATTTGAGGTTTTGACACTGGTAGTTTTAACAGCTTGTGAGAGAACCACAGGTTGATCCACAGCATATGTGCAGTTACTATGTGAGGGAGGAAGTCACATAACTAACTATAAGTTAGCTTGACTGCCAGCATCTGCTTCTCACTGTGGCCTGGTTGCTCTCTACTAGTCTTCACATACATAAAAGTAGTTCTACTGCAAGGGAAAAAGAAAAAACATCTGTGCAAAAAAAACAGTCTTTCAAATTAAAAGGCCAAAAAAAAAAAAAAAAAAGCAGCAAGCCAATTACTTGGCTAGGGATGAAAGTGAAGAGATTTAAGAAAGGACTGATATTTGTGGGTTTAGAATCAACCTGTCATTTTTCTTTTCAATTCCACAGATCTATTGTAGTGAAAGATTACAAATATGGCTAAACAGAAATAGTAAATTCAACAGCAATCTGTCTAAGCAGTGGTTGAATACCAGTAGTGGAATTATAGATGATAATTCATTTTACATTTTCATTTTATTAATATTACATCCACAAATGAAAAAGTTCAGATAAAAAGGTACTACTAAATGGAAGAGGGAACAGTTCCTATTTTACTTCATGAGGTCAGCATTATCCTGATAGCAAGGACTTTTCAAGACAACTACAGACCAAAAGTTCTCATTAATATGGGCAAAAATTTGTATTCATGAATTCTGCATGCATGGATTCAACCAACTCTGGATCAAAAATATTTTCTTTAAAACACTGTGTCTGTATTAAACATGAACAGACTTTGTTTCTTGTCATTATTCCTTAAACAATACAGTAAGACAACTATTACAGAGCATTTACATTGTATTAGGTATTATAAGTAATCTGAAGGTCAAAGTGTGCACGAGGATTTGCGTAGGTCACTTGCAAATAACAGACCATTTTATTCTATAAGAGACTTCAGCATCTATAGATATGGGTATTAATGGGGGATTCTGGAACCAATTCCCCAAGGATACTGAGGGAACAACTGAATGTAAACAGCAGAAATCTGCAAAAATGGTATCAGTTGCAAAAGCACATGATGACTTGCCCCAAGACTATTGGAAAAAAATATGTGAGTGCTACAGAACAATTCCAGTTTATCCTAGCTTTGACATTATTTTAATTAGCATTATTCTAGTGTTGTACTGCTCTACTACACCATATTTCTTTATTTACATAAAAAATTGTGATAAAAGACTATATATATATAATACATGTTATATGTTAGTGAAACCTCATGAATAGGATAGGAGGGATTATGGGAGAAAAGACCACTTGAGAAGTACATATTTTGAAAAGAAGTATATGAAGTAATTTCAGATCACATTGTAACTAGATTCAAGTTTCTATATTCTAAGAGTACAAGAGTCAGGCCTAGGGAAAGTCTCCTTTCATAAATGGGTAGTAATAATTTATAGTTAATAGATCAAAGAAACTAATTAAGAGTATGTTCGTAAGACTCTAAAATGCTAGTCCTGAAGTAATAAATGCCACATTAATTTCCTCACCAAAACAGTTCTGAAAAATAAGATTTCTAAGTTTGTATTTCAAAAGAAGAGTTGGGTTCTTTACCTTTGTATCTAAAATGCAGTCAAAACCCTAAATAAAGAAAAACCAGAACACATTTAGTATCTAATTCTTACCTGGAACCCACTTAATCTCCATTTCCATATCATTTTCTTTGCCTTTCTTTTCTTTTTCTTGAATAACTTGTAAGAGCTGTCTATATTTAGCAATTTGTTCTTCATCATCCTTCTGAGTTTTCTTCTGAGTTTTTCCATCTTCCACATTGACTCCATCATCACCTAACAGAAAAATCAATATAATTTGATACACAGAAACAATTCATTTCTAATTCCAGTGTTTAGATCTCACAGTTACTCCAGCAATTTTCTAAAACAATGTTATCAGACATACACAGAATATATTTTTAGGGTTTTTTTTATCTTTTTAGTTGTAGATGGACACAATATCTTCATTTTTATTTATTTTTATGTGGTGCTGAGGATTGAACTCAGTGTTTCACACATGCTAGGCAAGTGCTCTACTACTGAGCTACAATCCCAGCCCCGCAAGCACAGAGTATTGAAATCAGACTTCAACTCTGACAAGCAAATGAATTAAATGAAAGACTTAGGTCTTATGTATAATAAAACTCAGCTGCAATATAAGGTAGCAGTGTTATAGTAGTTTACATGGGAATTGCCCTTTTTTTAAATCATATTTTAAAATAATTCTCTAATTATACAACACCCATAGATTTCTCTTCCTTTTAAGCTGCAAGTTAATAAGAACTACAGACAGCGGACTTCTGTGCCTTGCCATCCAGTACCTTAAAAAATATTCTAATCAAATGTTCTGAATATTTTGGAGTGAATTTGGTAGATGGATTTAGCTTCTTAGGCTGAAGAAAAGAGATAAAAGAAGTTATAAAATCCAAACCTAAGAACACTAATTTCTTTCCATTTGACTATAAGCAATCACACTTACTCTAAGGATCTTGTTAATTTAATTTACTAATGATGAAAACAAATAAATTAGGAGTTAATTCAATTAATTTCACTGTGTGGGAAAACATTTCACAATTCCATTTCCTACTTTCATAAAAATAATTTGAATACAAAGAAACAGTACAAAATTCATGGGCAACAAATATCAAAGAAAACTAATACATGAAGTTTGTTTGTTCTACATTTCCACTGTAATTCTCCAAGTCAAAAACATAAATTAAGAACTTGGGTTTTAATGCAAAACATAGACATACTGAATTGACTAAATGTCCCTAGTAGAGGAAAATTTAGAAGCAGAATAATGAAATCCCTTCCTTTTAAAACCTATGGCTTACTGTTCACCAAAAACGTTTGACATTACTAAGTAGATACCTGTGAAACATCAGTGAGCATTATCCTTATGTATTAAAAACAAAAGTGATAAGGAAAAATTGAATAATTTTATATGTGAGTGTGTGTGTATTTTTCCCTTCCCTCTAAAAGAATAAAAAAATGGCAAAATGGACATTCTTTCCATCCTATCACACATTTTCACTCGAACAGCTGAAGTTCATTTTTTTCCTGTTTGTGCCACAATAATAATGTTGGATGGAATTCTGTCATGAATCCTGTAATTCAATGGATAAAACATCAGGAACACATTAACAAAATGGCAATGTATTTCTTTCTATTAAAAGCTTACTTCTGAAAACATAATTAGAAGCAACCTCCTTCCAGGTTGAAATTTTAGTGGTAAGACTCTGATGGCTTACTTTAAATTGATTTTTTCCAGCTCTAAAATGTGGAATAACTCATGTAGGTCTGGTTTTCCCCCCAATTCAAGGACAATACTTTGTGAAAGTCTTAGTACTATATAAGTAGTTTTTTAAAAAAATTTTAGAGTAAACTACTCTCATAAACAATAATCAGGAGCATCTAGTAACTCGAAAGCATTCAAGTATACTAATGTAGCTATCAGAGGAAATAAAGATAAAAGTAATTTTACTCTCAGTTGAAATACTGACGAAAAAGGCACACCTTGAAAAAATTTAATAAGTAGTATATCTCAAATGAACAGGTATTAATCTTTAAAGTTTTAAGAAATAAAAATATATAAGGCAAGGTAGTATACTGATTAATTTATGTACATTATTTCAATCTTTCCAACCTTGAGCCCAGTATTATTCTGATCTTTCTTTCATAGATACAGAAAGAAAGAAATAGGGAAGACAGTTAGAAAACTTAATCTATGTTATTTCACTATGTGGTGAAGTCAGGATTTGAAACCCATAAAACCCAAGTTCTTAACGAGAATGTACTGACAAATTAATCTTTTTTTATTCATAATATTATGTATCCTAATGTCAATCATATCATTTAAAAATTTAACTCAGTTTTCCCATACCAAAGAAACCTACTTGAAAAACTTGGATCAAAACTTCACAAATATTCATGGAATATTATCTTTTCCCTGTATTTTAGAGCTGAGATAAGAAAAACTATCCAGAATTTTCAGAAAAGTGCTAAATGTCTAAAAGACATACAAATAAAAAGAAAACATAATATATGTCTCTCCACATTTATCAGGGAAAAGGACATAAAGGTTATTTGTAAAAAGCACAGCACTAAGAAATGAAATGTTCACTTAGTTCTTCAGAATGCCAAAAAAATAAATAAGCAACAGCCACCGAGGCCTTAAAAATATGTGAAGTCTTTTGTGCCCAACATAACTACCATTGCAAATTATATATTTTCAAAGACTATTAAATACTTAAGCAATTATGTGGTTTTATTACATGATGTCTCAACAAATAAACTAGAATGATTAAACATGATTTTTCCATTCCATGTATGGAATACTATTCAAGACTAGTATTTTATGAAAAACTTTTAAAAATGAAGCATTATATTCAAAAGTCTAAAAGAAATAGTAATAGACCAATCACAGGATCTAAGAAAGTCAAGGCTTAATGGCCCCATGTTAAAACTAAAGAAGCATTTTTGCATTTATTTATCAATAGTCTATAAAAATAATATATTTTGCAAAAGGAAAACCAAAAAGCAAACTATAAATTATTAAGTTAAAAGATACTAATTTTTGCTAATTTAAAATACTTATCTACATGTTTAACATTTATGGTTCTTCACTTTCTATCAGTGATAATCCTCTTACTCATAATTTTTCATAGTTGGGAATTCTTCTATTAGATAAAAAGAATGAATATGTGAAGGGATCTGGCATATGTTATCAAGCAAAAAATGACATGAAATTACAACTAAGCAATCAAATTTTCAAGACAGATCTAATACAGGAAACATTTATTTGGGGCTTTGGTTATTTAAAGCATACAGCACTTATGATTTAAAAGTAACCATTAACCATGTCAATCATCAAAAGAAAAATCTTAAATGAATCAAAATAATCTGAGAATTTTTCTGTTTCTATAAGGCAAAGTAGGTAATTGAGATCAATCCTTTCACTGAAAACATAAAGTTGGATGAAATATTTTTAAAATCTTTTAAAAAGCTCTAGAAACTTAAAAAAGAAAGAAATGTTTCAAGCAACTGACAAGTTAGTGAAGAATTACCACGTCAAAATTAAGAAAGGAACACTGGAGAGATGATCTCAGTGTTAAAGACTCAGTTTACTCTGAAAGCATTTCCTACTTTTTGATCCATAGAAGCCTTAAAACTTGGAGAAATGTGGTCGTAGTCTGAAAAAAGTAAATGAAAGTTCACTCTCTTAAGAAAGATAACCTCATGTCAGATATTAAACCAGCACACAAAGACAACAAGGCCCACAAGTAAATAAAGATAAACATCTTGTTAAAAAAAATAGTAGCCAATGTAAAATATATGAAATATTGAAACTGTCAGACTATAAAAACATGCTTACTACTTATAGAAATAAAAGAATATGTTAAAACTATCTGCAGTGAGTATAAAACTTATAATAATGATGTTGTTGACAGGAAAAATAAGGGAAAAGGACTTCTAGAAGTTGAAATATATAATAACAAAAATTAAGAACTCAATGGATAGATCTATTAGCAGATTCAACACTGCTGAAAAGATAAGCAGTAAATTGGTTAAAAAAAATCCAAAATGCAACGGAAACAATGGATAAAAAATTTATTTTTATGTGGTGCTGAGTATGGAACCCAGTGCCTCACACATGCAAACACTCTAGCACTGAGCTGCAACCCCAGCCCCCAAAATTTACTAGATAGAGAAGACATAGCGAAAAGCTCTAACACATATTTAACAGTACCAAAAGGGTAAGAGAAAAATCACCTGAAAACACAATGGCTGAGAATTTTCCAATACTGATGAAAGATACCCAATCATAGATTTAGGAAACCCTACAAACCCCAAGTTCAATAAACAAAAATTAGTCAGCTTTAAGAAACATCATAGTGAAACTGGAGAAATAAATAAATAAAAATTAAAAGCGACTAGACACTTTTTTTTTAAATATTTTTTTTCATTGTAGGCAGACACAAGACCTTTATTTTATTTTTATGTGGTGCTGAGGATCGAACCCAGTGCCTACCATGCCCTAGGCAAGCACTCTACCACTAAGCCACAACCCCAGCCCCTAGACAAACTTTTAAAAAGTCTAAAAAGGTAGCTGATTTCTAAAAACAAGTCAGAAGATAACAGAATGTAGTTATCAATGTGGCAGTGGAAAGGAATGCCAACTTGGAATTCTTTATAAATGAAAGCAAAATAAAGCTGTTTTGAAAGACAAACTAACCTCAACAGTTTGACACCAGCACATACTACAGGAAATTGTGAAGGCATATTCAAGAAGAATGAAAATGATCCCAGATTTAGAAAGAAAAAAAGAGCACAGGAAGAGGTSAAACTTAAAGGTAGTACAAAATGGCAATATTACAACCTGTGGCATTTAAAAATAAGTAGCATTACAACACATGATGATAATATGAAACTTGTTTAAAGATTACTACATTATTCAGGAAGGCTGGAATTGTGGATCAGTGATGAGCTCTTGCCTAGCATGTGAGGCACTGGGTTCGATTCTCAACACTATGTATAAATAAATTAATAAAAACAAAGGTTTAAAGAAATATTGCCTTTATTTATTTATTTGTTTTTTTCAGTACTAGGGATTAAACCCAGGATGCTCTACTACTGAGCTACATCTCAAGTCCTCTTAATTTTTTCTTGTTTTGAGACAAAGTTTCATTGAGTCACTGAGGCTGGCCTGGAACTTGCAATCCTAGTCAGCCTCTCAAGTTGCTCAGAGTACAGTTGTGCACCACCATGCCTGGCTTATTTTTGCTTTCAGACTTCAATAAGTTAAGGCTGCAAGTCTTAATTTCAGAAGTGAATGTTCTAAACTTACTGAAAAAAACGTTATGTAAAATATATTCAATTAATCCCCAATCTCTTTGTTTAAAAAGGAGGATTAACATAGCATTTTACAAGTTCATTGAGAGATTATATAAATATACAAATCGCAACAAGTCTAAAAGGCCAGGTCTCTTTTTAAGTCTAGGGTTTTAAATAAAATGCTTATGGCTAAAGAAATTCAGGCTAAAAAAACACTTAAAAAAATTTTTTTCAAACACTATCTAAAGACGTATCTAATACTATGAATATGAATATGCTTTGCAGATGGCTTAAGAATTAAGACTCTCCCCTTTAAATTACTGCTAAGGATATATTTCCATGACAGTTACTAAAAGATCAGCAAGTACCTTGTATCTCCTCCTCTAACTCATCCTCATCTTCACTAGAGGAAGCTAAATAGGCTTGAAAATCCATGTCCAAAAGTTCTTCCTTTTTAAATTTTCTGTTGAGTGTTGTGATCCTTTCATGATCAGTCTCATCCCAAGTTATCTCCACCTTTACCAATGAAAACAAAATAAACAAATATGGAAATGTCAACAACTCACACTTGTTAAAGAATAAGAATACTGTTATTTTGGATGTTTAACAGTTGTAAGTTAAACAAGTAAAGATATGCTAAAACAAATATATGAATGACATGATTAATAAACAGTGTTCTATCTGTGGCAAGGGAATTAGTTTTAATGAACTTATATCATTTCTTTCCTATTTCTCTGCTATAGGCAGGATACTCCATTATTTGAAGTAAAAATCAATGTTGCACAGTAAGTTTGATGGAGAAAACCAAAAGCTGAATGTTTTCCCTGATAATGATCCCAGTGGGGGTGGGATGTAGGGGGTGGGATAGGGATGAATGATGGAACTTTGGTTTGTGCAGAGGGGGTGGAAGAGGGGTGGGGTTGTGGGGATGGGAAGGAGAGTAGAATGAAACAAGACATTATTACCCTATATACATGTATAATTACACCACTGGAGTGACTCTGCACCACGTATAGCCAGAGCAACAAGAAGTTGTGCTCAATTTGTGTACAATGTCAAAATGCATTCTACTGTCATGTATAACTAGTTAGAACAAATAAAATTTTTTTAAAAAAGATTTAGAATTATCCCCACTCTGATAATTAAGTCTATTGCTGGAACTAAGATAAATGGTAATGTTACAGTAAGGACTAAAAAAAAAAAAAAAAAAAATCAAGACTTGATGGCTAGCTCAGGCCACTAGTTCATTTTGAAAATAACATGACCTTACATTTTATGTGACTGAATTTTTCAGACTTTACTTTCCACACTATAGTAGGGTTTTACTATACTCAGTAACTAAATCAATACCATATAGTTCCCACTGCAGGTGGCAGATATAGATCTCCTTCTGCCACTAGCCCCTTCTTGGAGAGTACATGAAAGGCAAAGGGAAGCCAGTGTGGCTACTGCAAAGTATAGCTGTGGGTAGAGGTTTAGAGTAAGGAACAGAAGAAATCAGTCCACTAAGCAACAAACTATTTCAACACACAGAAATCCTTTGGCTGTTTCTTATTAAGTATTAATGTGACAACTAATAGTCCTGAATTATTCTGCTTCTGTTTTTTTTTTTTGTTTTGTTTTGTTTTAAATTTTCAATTATGCTAGGTGCAGTGGCACCTGCCTATACTCCCAGTTACTCTGGTGGCTGGGCAGAAGAACTCCAAGTTTAAGACCAGCCAGCACAATGTAGCATGACCCTATCTCAAAGTAATATTTTAAAAGGCTTGATGGTACAGTCTTTGGCTAGCATGTATGAGGCCCTGGGTTTAATCTCCAGTACTGGGGGGTGAAGGAGGGTGGTTTGACAATATCAGCAGAAAATGAGCTCCTGTTGTAGACTTTCACTAGCTTTGCTTAACTGTCATTTGAGGAAATCTGTTACTTTCTTTCTCCTATTCACTAGGCTATTAATAGCTAATATATTACTTATTAAAAAATTTAGCTGTTTGGGGGAGTATTTTTAACTGCTGCTAGAGATTAAACCCAGGGCCATGCTAGGCAAGTGCTCTACCACTGAGCTATATTCCAATCCTAAAGAAACTGTTTGAGGGGCAAGCAGAAAAAATCAAAGTGATAGAGTGCCAGGGATCCCAGCAGCCTGCAGCAGGGCCCGGAGAGCCAGGCCAACTGATTCGCGTGGCCTGCCCTGCGGCTACAGAAGGCGTGGCGCCTCA